CAATGAGGCAGCCGTGGTTCCATTCGAGTTGTTTTACTTAGTTCGAAAAGTGCTCCCCTCTGGAAACAATAACCGGTCCAGGATCCTTCCCGCCGGCCCTCAGTCGGAGGCCCCGGGGCGGGTGGCACGGTGGCCCGATTTGGAAGGGCGCGCAGGCGACGGGGGAAGTGGGGCGCGTGGCCGAGGCGGGCGCGCAGGCGTGTGGGGGAGGGAGGCACGGGGGGCGCGGTCGCCGAGAGAGCGGGGGGACGTTCACAATTTAATTCCGTGGATGCTCCCTGTCGGCCCCAGTGCGGTGCTGGGCGCTCCAGGAGGGCCCTTGTGGGTGCCCGGCCTCACCCCCTCTCCCGGTCACACGTCCTCCACGCAGCCCGGGCAGGAGCCGGGATGCAGTCCTGGGGAGGTCGGGAGCCGAGGGCCCGAGCCGGGCCGCTAGCGCCACGTTTCCAGCTCGCGACACCCGGACGGCCAGAGCGGGGGCGGGGGCGGTTTGTGCAACGACGGCGCCACCCCATCGGTGGACCCAGCCCTGGCCAACCGGCTGGTTCCCTCACCTGCCGCCACCCGGGCTTTCCCCGCCCAGCTCCCAGCTGGGAAGCCCGTCCCCGCGGCGCCCTACACCAGCGGGTGGGAGCCCTCCTCGCGGTGCCCCCGCTCGTCCGTGCCCTGCGCCTGTTTCCTGCCTCCCTGTGAAGCTAGAGCCTGCGCTGTTGTTTGCAGCCCTGCACCCCCGCACCCGCCCTGGGCCATCCTGCCGGGCGTGGGCCGGCAGCCGGACTCACGCGGCGCCAGCACACCCTCCGCTGCCCCTGCCCGGGCCCTCTCCCCTCTGGCTGGGTGTCCTGCGCCTTGACTGAAGACGCCGAGCACCCCTCCGCTGCCGCGCGCCCCAGCCACTGCTGCAGGGCCCAGGCCAGGGCTGCCCGTGGTGCGGGGAGGCAGGCGAACGTGCGGGCTCGGGGGCCTGCCGTGCCTTCTCCAGCCGGGACTGGGGCCGGTGGAAACGCAGCGCACACCCCCAGGGCGGGACGCGCCGAGGCCAGCTAGGGTGTCTCCCAGAGGGGAAAGGCCAGTGAGCTGGACACACCCCAGACCACAGGAGGCGGGGGTGGGGGAGGGGGCGTGTTATATAGGACCGGACTAGGCTTTGGTCAACTCGGGCTCCTGGACGAGGGCGAGCTAGGCTTGGGGAGGTTCCAGGGAGGCCCTGCGGACGACGCGGACGGACGGACCGGATCTGCGCGGTGGGGTCTGCAGTAGTGACCCCTCCGCTTGAAGGCAAGGCCGGGCGGTCCTCAGGCCCACCCCGCCTCCCAGCGGGGAGCACCAAGCGGCCAAGGACCGGCCTCTGGGGGGGCGCAAGGGGGAGCTGGGCTGTACCCGTGGCGGAGTCGCAGGAGGCGAGGAGGAGAGGCAGGGCGGGTAGAGAACCCACTAGGGTAGGACCTGGGCGGAGCTCGAGACCAGGGGCGGGGACTGGGCGGGTTTGAGGCGGGGCTTGGAGGCAGGGGCGGGGCCCAAGTGGACTGAGCTGGACTAGAGTGGGCTGGGCGG